GTCACAGGGTTGCTTGGTCGCGCAACTGAGCGCACGGTGCGACGGCGCGACGGCCGACCGCACACCGCGACCCAAGATGCACAGCTCCGAGCCGCTCTGCGCGAGCGGACAGCACCTGAGCGTCACAGGGTTGCTTGGTCCCGCAACTGAGCGCACGGTGCGCCGGCGCAGCGGCCAACCGCACACCGCGACCCAAGATGCACAGCTCCGTGCCGCTCTGCGCGAGCGGACGGCACCTGAGCGTCACAGGGTTGCTTGGTCCCGCAACTGAGCGCACGGTGCGCCGGCGCAGCGGCCGACCGCACACCGCGACCCAAGATGCATAGCTCCATGCCGCTCTGCGCGAGCGGACGGCACCTGAGCGTCACAGGGTTGCTTGGTTCCGCAACTGAGCGCACGGTGCGCCGAGAACACGGGGACTGCGTCGACAGAGGACGTGGATCTCGGCTGCGTGGGGACGATCCGAACCCCAACCACTCCAACCAGAGGGACCGCGAGACGCGCGGCAGCATCCCCTGGGCCTGCGCGCAAGGAATCCATCGATTCAAAAGCAATGGAAAAGTAACAAGAGGCAACTCTTGGACAGGCAATGATCAGCCTGGAGAAAATCGATGCAAAGGCACTCCTGATCAGCCAATGCCAACCAACCAACCAGCCTGGAGCGAAGCAGATGGAGAACGAAGGGTGCCCGCGAAAACCTTGCTTCCCGAATGCACAGCCTCCTCAGAAGCTCCGCTTTCCGCTTCGCACCTTCTCTCTCTAGACTTGGCAGACGCGAAGCGTGCAGGAGAAAAACTTCAATGCCACGAAGTGTGGCTCTTTTGGGGGTGCTGCATCTGCCACAGGCCACGGCAGCGTCTCCGCAAGGGAGAGCCACCTACCCCACAGAGGCAAAAGAAAGTTTGTGGATGCAGTATTTGAGTCAGCGGCTGAAGAGCCGCTGCTGCGGGCACCATTCGAGGCAAACTGCGTCCTCTGCACTGTTCCTTCGTGCAAAGAAAGTGGGTCGAACGCTGCTTGCACGGCACGGTGTGGTCCGCTCTCCTGCGCGAACAGGTAACTTTCGAATGAGCGTTTCATTTGCTTGATCCAGTCCGGTGTTGTGAACGGACCCCTCTAAAAGCTTCGCATGGACAGAAACTAATGCAAAACAAAGCGGGATCACGCTGCGTTGGTGCGATTAGCGGCGCGGCCCGCCAGCGCGAGCTCCAAAGCAAGGAGGTTGGGCCGATCGAACGCCCGAACCCTTTGCCAAAATCGCCCGCCAGGGATGTAGGCACAAGCACGGCACCTGACAGTAAAGCCCTCACGGAAGGCGGCCCCGCCGCACACCATCGCTCAGCAGTGGGACGCGAGGCACCTGAGCGGCAGGTTTGCACGAATCGCGCGAAGGCCCCAAGGCCAATGGGCGTACTATTCTCGGCCACCTCAGACGAAAGCCAATCGCTGGCAATCGCTAATCATACGCGGCGCAGGCGCGCGAATCGCGAAATCGAGAATGCGAGTCTGGACACCTTGGCGCCGGAAATCGGCGCTGAATCGATGAAGCTCGGAAGACATTCCTGCCAGCGCCAGAAGCAGCGAAGGGGCCTGACCACCGAATGGCAACCTGGCAACCAGCGAATGCTCTGCTGCTGCGCGCTCATCAACGACGCTGCGCCAGCAATGAAAGCACAGAGTGCAAATTTAGCGAGCACGCGGAAGCAGTAAATTGCGCTCGCGAATCTTCGGGGCACGCTGGCGCCAGAACCCAGGCCCCGTGCTCCAAATGCATTGCTGGCCGCGCAGGTGCACCGGAAGGCGGCCGTGCGGCAACCAGGCTGGTATCTGGAGCAGCACGCGCCACCTGCGCAAGGGGGTGCAAAGGCGCCAGACGGCACAGCACCAATGGAGCGCAGCACGCGGTTGGCAACCGTGGCCAGGCGCTGCACTGCGCAAGGCAGGCGGGGTGCAGAATGACGCGCTGCCACAACCTGAGCAAGCACAGGGTGATAGGCCAAACGCTGCACTCGCGAGAGGGCTGCACTGCATGAGATGGAATCTGAGCGCGTCAGCGCCAGAAAGGCGAGATTGACACGCCATTGTGAGCCTGGTCGGTGGCACCCGTCACGCAGATTGGCAGGGTCAGGGTCCAAAAACAAAGGGGATTTGCAACATTTTTGAAATTCGGCGGCACCCCTCGCGCAGATCGGCGGGGTCAGGGTCCGAACGCACAAGGGGTTTGCCACATTTCTGAAATCCGGTGGCACCCCTCACGCAGATCCGTAGGGTCAGGGTCCAACGACACAGGGGATTTTGCATTTTTCTGAAATCCGGTGGCGCCCCTCACGCAGATCCGTAGGGTCAGGGTCGAAAAACAAACAAGTCCCGACACTGCTTCACGGCGGCGCCCAGACCTCATGATTTAGCTTTTGCATCTCCCATTATCCGAGGCAGGGGGCCGGCGGCATGGGGCAAAGCCCTTACGGATAATCCTTTCGCAATCGGCTACAAAAAGGAT